AGGGAAAATGGTTTCGCAACGAAAATTTGGATTTTATAGCTAATTTGAAGTAATTTCAAGATAATATAATGTGATCAATCAACTTCCGAAGTTTAAACAGGAACAATGTAAGAAGTAGCTCAACAGAAAAACAGGAGTACTTATAGAAACTTAACACATATTATGCCGTTTCGAATCTACAGAAGCATAACTGTTAGACGTTATTTCATTATGATTTTCAAAACAAAGATTTCGTCATATTTTTCTTGAACTGAGGTTAAGTATTCTGAGTGGTAGTAATGATTTGGACAAGGCAACAGCAACAACTAAACTATCTCAACAATTCCACATAAATAACACAATAAACTATTTAATCTTTTTTATATATCACTGTAGGAGTGTTCACGAATGCAAACTGCTCCTGAAAGTCTATTCACTTTTATACAATCTGCGCCGTATATTAACTTGGAAAGGTGAGCAATTACAGTGTTTCACTTCATTTCATTTTACACGTGTGAAGCGCTGTGAGCGGTGTTATACGTGATTTCATTTTACACAATTTGTGTATGCTGTTAGTGCCGGGAGAACGGGACTATAAGACCATGAATAAAAAAATAACCCTCCAGCTTCGGACCGTCACAAGATTTCCTTTTATAATATACACAAACTTTCCTTTCCGTTTTATACCTTATTAGTTGAACTTCTTCCTCCAGGCAAGTCTGGCTACTTGGTCATGAATTCCATCTCTGTTCATCCTTCCCTCTCTAGAGATACAGCTGTCACTTTCAAAGAAATCCCGAACAGTACATTCTACTATAGCCAACATTTTACTTTTATCTTTCTTCAGTGTTTATATCACCATATAGACTTTATTTCCAATCCATAGAAAGAGACAGTACTTTTTACTGAGATGATTCTGCTACAGTGAGCAGAGCAGATCCTTTTGAATGAGCTTAATGAGTTGCTCTACTGTTACTTGAAGAGCTGAAAACGATATGTCTCACAGCAAGAGTTGGTACATTAGCTCAAGTAAAGAGGTTTTACCTCACAAGAAAGAAAACTAGCAAGAATTTGATACATTTAATCTACATAAAACTCTAAGAACTCTGTAAAAATAGTTTCTTCTCCTCATCAAGGTGGCTGTGTTTGGTTTCAGGCTTGAACTGAAATATGCCTGTCACGACTTTGAATCTATAGAAGAACTCACTCGTGGTCTTTCAGACTCCGGTAACATTTTGGAGTTGACAGGAATATTTTCTTTCTTATTCCATTTCGATTCAAACTGGAGTACCGTCTCCACCTGCTCATTCCACTCGTAACCACTGGGTGAGCCTATGAGTAAGTGCCTAAGTTTTCCACCAGATAACGCATCCAGTTTATCAAAGTCTTCGTCGGACATTTCCGGAACTTCTCTGAGAGTTCAGTTATGAAGGAACTCTAGACTTTAAAGCAAACCTGCGTATTGTGCCGGTCATGATAGGTTTATCCATATCGCAAACAGCAGGTCTCTCATTTATTTCCCCTCCTATATAGAATAGCCTTCCGTTGTCATCTTCAGCAAAAATATTTCCTCGTGCATCTTGTACTACATTCGGATTCTCTAATAATCTTGTTTCAGCTTCGAGTAATTTTGCTTGTTCCTCGAAATCGACTCCGAGTACTTCTAAGGAAGGTATGGATTCCTCGAGGAGTAGAGCAGCTTTCCCAAGATCCTGAAGAGAACATCTTCGTAAGAGTTATAGGCTGCTTGCTTACCTTACAATACAACCCTTCTAGCCTCAAGAGCCTAAGCTTTTTGAGAGGCAATAAACCCATTAAACCTATAAAAAGATATTTCATTATAACATTGCTTTTGGAACAAACCTTTGGAAGAAATTTTTTGGCATCCACTAACATCTAACATTTCCAAGTTTTCCATCATTCCTCCGATTTTCCCCAATGTCCAATCATCAATGTACTCACAATCCGCTAATCTTAGCATCCTCAAGTGCTTTAGGTCATAAAGATTTTCGAATCCTAATCACAGAATTTGCAACCATGTATCATATTAATCTAAACCTTCGAACATTAGCTCAGTTCCAGAAGCGTCAATGGCTTCGATGTGCAACCCTGGAACTTTCCTCCCTGGCAATGAATAGTTCTGAAATAAAATTACATGGTATATGCATACTTGAGGAGATTCCAAACCTTCTTTGCGTCTCTTCTGTACCAATTGTCATCTCCTATGAACTTTACAGAAGCTCCCCTATGCACGAGGAAATGAGCAGCAGCTAGATCGGCACCCAAAAACAGAAGCCTTTCCGCGATCATTCTGAAATAGAGACTTTGAAACGAGAAAACACAGTCATGCGCACCTTTGATCATACTGTAAGTGTTTGAAATGCTGATATCTATTGAATCTCTTTATATTATCTATTGAATGATCTACATATCTCATTTGAGTATGATTAGTGAGTAAATCGATTGGTAAAGCTCCTGTATCTTCATTTGTCTCATCAGCCCGATCTTTCTTTGGTTTTACTGAGAACAGAATTGAAGGAGATATTATATCAAAAAGACTCACAATCTTCAGGCCTTTCAGGCGTGATATACAATCCTGTGGGTAACTTCATGAAGTTCTTCATTTTCAATTTATGAACTGTGTGTTCATCCTTAAGATTTGACTTTCGATTGAGGATAGAACAAACGACAGACCTTAGCTTTCTCAAGCTCTTGCCATCGCTCAAAGCGGTTCCATTTATGGACCCACGATTGAGCTGATCTTTTCGAGACTTGTGGAGCAGCAGACCTAATCCAGCACAAGCTCTTAGAGTAGGACATGAACTAAACCTCGAGTCCTGATATAACATCTTAAAGAGAACAAAGAAGCAAAAAAGGAAAATATATTTATCGGAAACTCAAACGTATACGAAGATAGGTGAGGAAAAGTGAAAAATTTATTATTTTATAACAAAAATACCCATCATCTTTGATAAAAAAATCAATGTACACAACCAAATTTCATAAAAATCACAGTTTAATCACAACTATTTGATCACGTAAAGAAATGGAATTCCTTATTAAGGTTAACAAAGAACAACAATAAATAATACTTTGAAATTATGCTAAAACCACCACCATACTTGGAAAAGGCACTCGATAGAAGCGAATTGGAAGAGATTTGGTGACTATGCAAAACTATGTGTGATTAGAAAGGACGATATCCCTCTATCATCCAGCGTTGCTTACGATCTGTACTACAATTCTGAAGAGCTAACTTCGATCCGTCGCCTGTCAAACACTTCTGAGTTTTGTTATGAACGATCTGCTGTCCCTGTAAAGCATAAATGCTATATGCACAAAAGAATGATGTCCGCTTACAACAATGTGGAAGATATGCTTGTTGTTAGGAGTCGCTCCTGTACATCTCTCCAGTTTCAATGAATCGTCCATGGCGAATGGAAGGCCAGACGAGAGACAAAGATCGTCACTACGGATTTCTCCTTTACCAGTAAGAGCCCAAGCCTGAAACGCCAGAGGTTCACTTGGAAAAGAACAAAACAGAAAGTGAAGAGGGGATAAGAAACACAATTTCCCAATAAACATAATAAGAGAAGTAACCTAGTTTCAACCCATTTACCTGTTCTGCAGCTAAACGAGGTGCAGTGTATTTCTAAAGTTGATTTCGAATTAAAAAGTATAATTGAGAAGAACGATTTTTGGAATGTTATTTGGGATAAGATAGATGTTTACCTGGTTTCCACCAGCGCCGTGACAAGTAGTGATTCCTGGGTTTCCTCCTTCCTTCTTACCCATAGTGTCTACACAGAGTTCAGTTGCCTAGAAAGAAAACATGTTCGATACAAGAGAAGACTACTACTCACATCCATCTGAATGTAACCAAGAGAACGGAACTCGGAAGGAACAGGTGCTTCTGGATAAATGGTCTCCAAATACCATTTGAAGCTCTTGCATTGCAAATTCTTCCTCAACTCAACTCTCTTGGTAATGTCTCCCATGTCAACAGTCTTTGCACCTGAAAAAGAAAATGAAAACGTGAATTATCATTTCTATCACTTACCCGGAACCATTTTATAGAAGAACTGCTTGTAGTCATCCATCCAAACTTCGGCAGTACGTGCAGCATTATGATGAATGACCTCAAAACGATACAATGAACCTACTGAAGCTTAAAAAAGATTCTCACCTTGGCTGTTCCACCAGGGAAAGTATAAGGTGTTTTCTTACGGAAGACATGTCCTACTCTTGAGCATGGATGAATTTCTAGCGATCCTCCACACATCCAAACCTAAGCAAAAACATATTCTTTTATCCTAAACCATCATCATACTCTGAAAGAAATTTCCAAGTTCTCTCCTCCCCAGACTTCCATGCCCTCATCGTAAGATCCTATATCATAGAAGAACTGCTTATCGATGGCAAATAATCCACCAGCTATAGTAGGAGTTCTATAATTTGAACGTTACTAACCGAGGATCTTTGCCGTTAACTCACTGGATAGGAGATGCTCTATCACCATTTCTACGAGCCAACTCTCTCTTTGGCACTTGGTACCATCGGAAATTCAAATGCCAATTGAAGCCTCCCCAGGTTGTATCAGAAGCAGTCACATATTCGAACGTGTCGTCTAAGAAGATGAAAGTAGAAAAGACTGGATTACAAGTAAATACCTGATATGACATCGATAAGAGGGGCAACAACTCTTTTTCTATCAGAAGCTACTCTGTCAACCAATGGCTCAAGCCATCCTTGAGTTACCTATCAGAGAAAACGTGAAACTAAGAAATAAGCTGATCATACCTCAACGTGGGCATCCAAGAAAAGGAGAATTTTTCCTTTTGCTAGTCCACTACCAGTCAATCTCGCTCTGATAAGACCACTTCTTTCAGGCAAGTGAACAATTTTGACAGGAACCTGAAATTGAAAATTCTAGATGAGAAAGTATTTGAGTTACTCACGGGGAATCTCTTACAGTATGCTTCCAAAGGAGCTCTGAGGTAGTCTCGATCAGAAAGATCATCCACCATGATAATCTCTTCTAATAAATGTAAAGGAGACCTATTCACTATTGAGTGTAACGTTCTCAACAGAGTTGTCCATGCTTCATTGTGGAAAACTATGATAATGGAAGTTTTCGGATAGTTTTCTGTCTCGTATGTTTCCGAGAGTTGTTGACATCTAAATTAGGAGGCTTCGGATCTCTAAGACTGATCAGTGCTTACTGTGATGAGCGATAATCAGGCAAACTTCTATTAACAGAGATCATTTCACTGGCAACCTTGAAACATTTTTCTTTGAAATCTCTACCGTTTCACAACCATACCACATTAAACTGATTTTCGTTGAATCGGTTATTATTGTTATCGACAGAAACAGCTGCACCGTTCTCTCCATGATTAGGTTCCCCGAAAGCGCCAACTGAACGAAAGGTTTTAAGCCTCAAGATAATGAGAAATATTTACCGCTCATAAGCATTATCAACTCTTTTTTAACAGCAGGATCAATATCATCATCTTGAAGCTTCAATGCTTTTGGAGCATCATCTGGCTGAAATACACTTTCATTTCCTCCCTCACTGTTTTTCATTCTCACCTTGTCGAAGCTCTGTTTGGCATCATATCGTTCGGGTCTAACAATTCTATAACCATAACAATAGTGCTAGTGATAATGAAAGGACAAACCTGTTCGCGTCTGAGCTAACGGAGGATGAACCCGGTTCTAATAAATACAGTAAAACCAAACTACCCAAAAGCATCCATACTATACTAGTCACTAAGACGGCCCGGCAAACAGCCGACCGAAGACGCATTTACTTTCTGGAAGAAGAAACGCGATTTGGGAGAGAACAAGAAAAACAAAAGAAGATATATGAGAGCAGCTCAAACTGCTTTCCTGCAAGACAGAACAACTTGAATAAAATATTATTATTATTACATGTCTATATATGGATGAAGATATGTTCAAAGCAGCTCAAAATGATAAGTAGTTCTTCTTCTTATTCTAATTAGTTAAAAGGTTTCGGCACGAAAAGATCAGACCTTGAAGAAGAACTCCCTCTAAGGCATAAGTTATGTTATTATGAGTTGAATGGCTCAAACTATCACAGCGTTCTAGACATTTCGTCGTTATGAGTCGCAAAATATTATGTTAATTAGTACCTTTTAAGTATAAACGAATATCACAGCTATTAAAAATAATAATAAATATCTGAAAATTTAAATCAACAACTAGTAAGTATGTGAGGAAGAGCGAAGGTTAAACCTGTCCGCCAAATCCATTTCAGTCCTCATTTCTTGATAGAAGGTCATTGCCTTCAAAGGACATTTTCGTATAATCTTTAATGCTTTTCATGAGAAATGGGCATAGCCAGTCCACATGAAATCAACCAATCGGCAAGATCTCGTCCACAACACGAAAGACGAGCCTCTACAAGAGGAACTGCCGGCGCATTCAATTGCTTCCATTCACTCCATCCATTGGGCAATGGATTCACCTGCAAAGAAAACGAAGATATTATTAAGAATAAGGTCCCTCTATTCCTCTATCTTACCAAAACGGGATCGCCAAGTCCGGCTTCGAAAAATTCGCGAACTGCTTCATGAGTTTCTCGGCTCCACACATCAACTCCTCCAACTGGCTGAATACCCGATAACTGCAACAATGGACCTTATTAATTGAGGGGAGAGAAACTGAATAGTCTAACCTTGCATTTGAACATCAACATCTTTCTGAAGGGAGTTTTACCATTCAATTTTCTGATTGAATCTCTCCTCACGTAATGGAAAGCTCCTACGTCTATCAAATATACACAGAATGCCATCAAATCTGAAGAAAAACATTCAAAAATATAAGAAAAATTGGGATGATTACCAATTTTGGAAGGTCGGATACATTGAACTCGTTCCCATCGACCGTCGATCTTCGCGGCATAGAATAAACCCGCTTGGGGATTTTCCGTTAACTGAGAATCGGGCAGCAAACACTCTTCTGCCAATTTATTATACATATAGTCCGGCATCGGGTCCTATAGATAACAAGAGTCATGACGAAAACTGAAAACGGCGTACCAAAGAAACTTGACGTAGACTAATATCCATGGGGCCAGCAGCAAATAAGGCATTTGCTGGAAATATACCAACAGGCATTTGTGAAATTTCCATTGGCGTAATATCCGCATCGCCGCTAAACACACATACATTCGATGGAGACACGACAGTTGAAGCTCGAGAGATGATACTGTAATAAAGAAAATCAATAAAATCAGATAAATAGCTGCTCACCTGTTCTTTGTATTGCCGTTAGCATCTCCGGAAAGTCGATTGAGAACCTCTTCCTTGATAGCTCGACTATCCACAGTCCATAAATCAATAGTCTGATGATCAATCTTACTTGAATTATCGGCTGATGAAAACTGGAAGAAGCGTTATTTATAAATTCCGAAACAAAAACACTCTACCAAGATCGTGACAGGGACTAAATTGCCTGAAGGATCGTTCTCGAAAAAAATTTCACGGACAATTTGATCAGTTTCTGTTCCAACTTCGGATGAAGAGAATCCCATGGCAACTCTCTTAGCCAATGCAGGAGCTGAAGATATTGGATTCGATTAGAGCATCATGAACTCGCTTTCATACTTTGCATTATGGTAGAACTAGGATCAGGTAAGAGCCGAACATCTCTCACTGGGAAAGTTCCCTTGACACCGACGTCGGAGAAAAAACATTTTAAAGTTCCATTACGCGGCAACTCCTAAGAAAATTGTAAAAATTAATTTCCGTGGAAAACAGAAATACCTCAGCGATTATCCGAAACCATTCTCCTCCCGCATCACATAAAGCGTAGGCCCCACCAGATAAGATCTCCTGAAGAGAGACATGGAATAGATGAGAGTGAGGTATTGGCTTACATAAATTTGAACTCTGTTTTCATTCTCATCTTTGGAGAAAAAATCAGCCAGAGTTTCTTTTATATCGCAGAATTTCTTTTCATCCTTGACAGCTCTAATGTAAAAGTCTTCAGTACTCTCAAAAGCCACAACATGTACTTCGCAACGAGGAGTAAGAGATTCCGAAATGGTCGAAAGCTGGAAAAAGAAACAGAATAGAAGGAACACAAGATGCACGAACAGTCTCTGAATGAACTAAAGGGTATTTATCCTTTCTCCTCTTTATCAGATCGGGATTTTCATTCTTGGAGCTTGACGAGATAACTGAAAAAAACGGAAAATGGGGGGAAAAACAACAAAATGCACGAAACATGCGACACGACGAAAAACTTACAAAAATACATTCAAGTCTAGAAAATCATAAGAAATAAAAGGGAAACTTGAAAAGAACAAAGAATAACTTACTTCTGACGTTTGTGAGCGGAATAGGAGGTCTTTTGAAAGAACTGGTGTTCGACAGACGAACAAACAGTATGGTCAAAGGTCCCCTTGTTTGAGCTTCAAATTCCTCTGCTGCCGCGACCCAAAAACGACAAAAAATCAAGGAATACTCAAAAAGGAAATTAGCACCTGTTCCAGCCAATCGGTAGGTAATTCTCTTCCTAAACCCTTGTTGACATATCTGAAACAGAAAATACGTGAAGCGATTTAGAGGACAAATACATTGAAGAACAATAGACAATATGCAAACAGAACAGCGGACATCATACATCTTCGACCTCTAGCTGTAGTTTCCTTATAAGATTGAAAGAAAAATGAAGGCTCAAATGCCATGAGAAAATTGATGTTAAAGAGGAAAAAAGAAAAAAGAGAGGAAGAATAGAACAAAAGAACTCACTCTTCCTGATATTTCTCTGCCAAGTGTGTCGAAGATACTCCCATGGAAAAGTTCTTCTGGATCATTTCGTATAGAAGTTCCCTGATTTCTTCCATTTCTTCTGACGTGTCCATCTCCGTGTCACCTTAAATCAAAATCTTTTTTTATCAAAACTGTTCAGGTGTTCTTGAAAAGGTGATCAAAGATACCTTTATCATAGATAGTTGATGGCATCAAGCCATCTAATGTTAGAAATCTATGAGACGAAGGAACAGTTGGAGAAGTCATCGTGATGCTCTGAAAAATGATACTTAACACAATTTATTAAATATACATACTAAAATTACAACAGTACGAAACGTAAAACCTCAAGTGAACCTCTAATTCAGAGAAAGTGGCCATTCGACGATAACCTGCGTATAGCGGAAGATTGCGTACGGTAAATATGATCAGAAGTTACCTTGACCGCTTCCAGTCGATAGAGGGTAGCAAGAGCAACTAGTATTGAATAAATTATTATTTAATCTTTTTCGTAAACAGCCAAACTTGTTTTGAAAATGTTTTTTTTGTTTTTTCACGAGTGATGATAACAAACACTACTCTTTGTTTCTTGAGGCAGTACTTCCATTACATCTTATGGATACTGTCTGCACTCTGCCAGTCGCCTGAGGAATAGCCATGTATATCAGTTTTAAAGAGAGAAATTTTGCTCATCACCATTCTGAAAGTTTTATCTATCAGTAAGTTGTCGTATGGTACGAGGTCATTCTTTGGTGTGAGCTCATTGATTAGTCATTAAAGACGGCACGAAGAGGAACTGGTTAGATTGCGATGGCGCCTCTGAACAATTTATTCTTTTTTAAGAAAAAAAAGTGATCGACAATTGCTTTTCAGTTGATAAACCGTACAGATTAATCTTCTTGCACTTCAGTTCCTGATGTTTCTCCTCTGCAAGAAGGAAACTGTAACTACGTCAACGTATATGAGCAATGAACACAGTAACTTATGATTATAAACATTTATATATACATATATGGACAACATTATCAACAATTATTATTCAGAGGCATCAGATTCATCAAGAATGTTTTGGGTATTTGTTAGCAATCCTATCTATTTCGTCTCTGACACGCTCGGCATCAGGTCTTTTCGCTACTTCAGAATCCCACATTCTGAAACGATGTGGATTAGGAGGGATGAGAGAAGAATAAGTTTTACATTTTTATGAGATCAGCAAATTCTCTAGGGCAAACATCGTCATCAATTGCCGGTCTCAGTTTTCGATCCCTAATGGCAATGAGCAGGTTGAGCAAGACTTCCTTCTCATATGGAGGCCTAGAAATAAGAAAATGTTTCGAAATCGCTAATGTATCATGCTCCCACTTTCTATGACAAACTTCCCACAGAGTGATTCCTAAACTATAGATATCACATTTAGTACTAAACTTTTCTCCTTTTTTCTCAGCAAAGACTTCCGGTGGTGTGTAATAGATAGTACCACACCTGAACATAGATTTGGAAATAACAGTTTCGTAACTGTCGACTCACTCTGTACCAGATGTTGGATCTGTAGTTGATATTCCCAAATCACATATTTTCAATTGCTTGAAATCTCTATCTAATAGAAGGCTGAAACAAGAGAGAAATAGAATTTAAGGTTATACAAGGTTTTCATACTTTGCTGGTTTGATATCTCTATGAATTATTTTTTTCTTATGTAAAAAGATCAAGCCGGCTGCTGCTTGACGTATCCAATGGAGGACGTTATAACCGTTATAGAAGGCTGAGGTTGTTTTATAAATAACTATACAAGATTAACAAGAGAATCTTAATTCACAAATACCTCCATGAAGACTTCCGCCCTCCATATACTCCATAACAAAGCCCAGTGGATCATTGTGAAAGTGAGCGGATTCATACAAAACACCATAATAAGCAACGATGTTCTCATGTCGTAACTAAGGTTCAGAACGTCAGAATCATGAATACAGCAATTACAAACCTCTTTCAACAAACTAAGTTCTTTGGCACAATGTCCTCGTAACTTTGATACAAAGCTCGAGTATTTAACAGCAACTTGTCTGAAGTCACATTATAACTCTGTCAATTGCTTCTCAAACTCACTTTCCAGTATCCTTAATTTTGGCAGTCACAACATGACTCTGACCACCTTGGCCCACCTTCTCAAAACTCTCTCGAACCAATTCATTCTGATAGTAATCTCTTCTATAGTCGTCATCAGAATCTATATTGAACAATTGAGAAATATATTTCTACAAAAGGTCTCAAACCTTCAGCCCTTTTGCTTTTCTTGTTCTCTTTCCCAAAAGATCCTCCTGATATATGTGGGGAGATTTTAGGATCACTTTTGGTAAATGAAGACCCAAAGAAACTGGCAACTGGATCGAGAGAAACTTTAATACGTTGGAGTATTGTTGGTCCGTTTGATCCACTGCTACTCGTGCTTGTGGGCTTTCCTGAAGTAGACAAGGTAAGCAATATTAGGTAATGTGTAGATCCTATTACTCGTTTCGGTTTCATCCGCATCTCGAGCAATAGGTGAGCCATCGTTACCGTTGTTAATGTAATTCGTTGTTCTATGCTTTTCTGAAACACGCAAGATGAGATTTATACAGTAATTAATTTTCCTTTACCTGTATCGAACTGATTGACATCTGGAGCAATGAGAGTGCTACCGTTGCCGTAGCCGTTTTCACCGTAACTCGTTTTTCTTTGCTTCCCTGGAACAAGGAAGATGAGCAATATATGGTGATTAAGATTATCTTACCCGTATCAAAATTATACCCATCTGTTACAATGTGAGCGCTACCGTTACCGTTGTCAACGTAACTCGTTTTTCTATGCTTTTCTGAAATACATAAGTTGAGCAATAAATGGTGATAGAGTTCTTTATACTTGTCTCATTTACACCCATATACGGAGCGTTGAACTCGGTGTGGTTTCTGCTGTCGATGTAATCCGAATGCATCGGATAAGAAGGTACAACATTAACGGATGAGCTTCTAGGTTTGCTCTCCAGTTTGTAATATTCTGAATAAAACAAGAATGAAAGAACAAATGAAAGATGCCATTACTATCGGGTTCTGGCACAGGTTTTGCCACTTTAAAAACAGTTTCTAAGTCAGGCAAGAGCTTTACATCTGAAAATAATGAACTATGGAAGAAGTTGAAATAGAACTAACGTTGACTGATTTGAACAAGGAAAGATTGAGGGAATGCTAAGTAGTTTGCAATGACTCTGATCTGTTTCTTTCGCTCATCTTTGAAGAAAAATCGAAGAACTTTATCCGAATCTTCTCTGCTAGCATATTGTACACGGGTGCAGCTTCTATAAGTAATTTGAAGATAATAGAAAGTAAAGCTTATATGTCTTACATTCGCTCATGTTCATGTTCATTCTCTCCAAATGCGTAGAGATGGTAAGTTTTATAACTATTGGGTTCAATAAGATAGAAGTCTCCTACAAATTGATCGTTTTCCACGATGAATGTACAATCTCTATGCTGATCCAACGTTATAACTTCTTTCTAAAATATAAATATAATCAAATGATAAATGAAAAGAAAAAATATAATTTCGTTGCTTACATCAGGATATCTTTTTTTCAAAAATCGAGCAAATCTGTCGTTTTTTTCGTGCATAGTGAGCGAATTGTGTGTTACAATTGGTTTCATTATGGAGCGATTAGATAAAAAGAATAATAATCGATACTGATTATAAACTGATGCTTTTATAAAGATATGAAAGAAAACGTGTGAAGAAATTGAGGATGGGGCAATAGGACTGTCGAATTTCCTGGAAAAAATTAAAAATTAGAAGATGATAATGAGAGAACAACCGCCCAACGCATCAAAAAATGAGAAATGAAATGTTCAAATAATCAAATGGAATAGAGCACATGAAATTAGCATAGAATAATTAATGTGAAATCAGATTTCACGTGGGCTCATCATAATCATCATGAATCATTAACCGGTCGCATTGGAACAGCTCACTATACGTTCTGCATTATCATATCACTTTATATGATCTTTATAATACCCAACCGAATTAGGCAGCATAGATGATATGACTAAGAATAACAAAAAACGAAACAGATGATCTGTCTATTGCTTTCTCTCCAATCAAAACCTTTAAGTTCATGGATTATCTGGTTCAAGAGCATCAAACTGTTTTAGATGATGTACCATTGGTCTTTCCGATTCTTCCCATCTCTCTCCGAACTCATTAGTTCAACGAAGGAGTAGAATG